CAAAGGTGACCTTCTGGCTGACACCTTGAAGAAGAGGATATCTATTGCTCTCAGAAGGACATTCTTCGCTGCCACACTACGACTGACATTTTCCTCCCGGCCATTGTTCTTCAACTACTCTAGTTTATTTTCATAATTGTCTCCATACTCCTTCACTAACATCTAATCTTTCTAAACATATCTACATTACGTAACCCTACTCACATCTTACCAATCTTCACCCCACTTAGTTACAACTTTGATTATTAATCACACATTTTAATTTCTTAATTATTTTGATAATGCAATCAACAACCCACACTAACTGTTATTGTGATTTTGGTTTTAACAAACCTAATGTGCACACACACACAAAATTAATTGTATATTTTTGTGATGATATTAGGTGGTTGGAGGCAATCGGCAGGAAGCCTTGGACCTAGGTTTCGTGCTAGTTGGCACTCGTCAGCAAGGCGTATCTGCAACCTTGAAGGAACTCATGTCCCTTCTGAGATTCGAACCCGCGTCACCCAGTGCTGCAGTCAGAGACGTTACCACTGAGTTATTCGGGCTCGCGATTGACCTCCTGTAGGACTGTAGTGGATATATTTTTTTTTTTTGATTTGACACTAGTAACTAGTGTGATGCGTCTAGTCCTCTCCTTGGTGCAGACTGAATTCTATCAGTCACGTTGTAATGTGGCCACCATTCTAGGTAGCTCGCCATCACGGTGTACATAGTTTTGTGATGATATTAGGTGGTTGGAGGCAATCGGCAGGAAGCCTTGGACCTAGGTTTCGTGCTAGTTGGCACTCGTCAGCAAGGCGTATCTGCAACCTTGAAGGAACTCATGTCCCTTCTGAAACCTAGGTCCAAGGCTTCCTGCCGATTGCCTCCAACCACCTAATATCATCACAAAACTATGTACACCGTGATGGCGAGCTACCTAGAATGGTGGCCACATTACAACGTGACTGATAGAATTCAGTCTGCACCAAGGAGAGGACTAGACGCATCACACTAGTTACTAGTGTCAAATCAAAAATTAATTGTATATATTTGCGACTGTACAGCTAAGTGAATGAATTTGCCGAAAAGAGACTCTTCGCTGAACTAATTTGCTCTTATTTAAAAAGCCATTCAGCTACAAAGTTCACTCTTGAAATTGAAAACGAATCTAAAATTCCTTTTCTTGATGTTGACTTTATAAGAAGAGTTGATGGAACTTTAAGAAAGTCCATTCATAGGAAACCCACATGGAATGGCCAACTGACAAGCTTCGACAGCTGGGGACCAATCAGTTGAAAAAAAACCTAAATGGATCTCTTGCCACTCGCGTTCGACGAATCTGCAGCTCTGATGCCATGGAAGAAGAACTAAACTTCCTCAAAGAAACCTTCATACAAAAGGGTTACCAATCAAGATTCGTAGACAAAAACATCAAACAGAAAATCCAAAAGCTAGAGACGCCATCCGTGCCAAAAATGATACTTTATATGAACCTCAACTTTAAAGGTGACCTACACAGTGATGTCCTTAACAGGAGAATTTCCACTCCTTCAAGAAGAACTTTCTTCGCATCAACACTGAGAGTAGTGTTTCTCCAGTCGCCTGCTGATCTACAGAAGTCCAAAGGACAAGATTTCACACCTGACCACTTCTATGTGTGTATGTATATATCAGTGCACCTGTTACTGTGAAGCCAGGTACATCGGTCGTTCGACGCATATCCTGTTAAAAAGGGTCAAAGAACACTATCCGGCGTGGCTCCAAAAAAAGAAGTAGTGGCTGTATAAGACGTGCAATAATCGAACATCTCGTCACCACTGGTAATTCCATCTCAACAAACACCTACTCCTTCAAAGTAATCTACAAACTGAAGAACAACCTGACAAAGACAATACGTTTCCGTCTTCTTTGCATTGCACAAGCCTTAGCCATTCAGTTGGAAGAACCAGAACTATGCATACAAAAGAGAATTATTCAACCACTTCTACTATCATGGTAACAACTCTGTTGATTTGACTTAACTTTTGCTTGTTGGCCTATTTTTTCTAACTACTTAAAACTCTTACATAATTCCGTGTTTTATTTTGTTCCCGTGTACACCCTGAACACAACTCTTTCATCAAACTATCCATATTATTACGTAACCCTTCTTTAACAATAGTTTGTGACAACTCTTCACTTTTGTTACTACCCACTTATATCACCATCCAATTCCTCTGAACGCTTTTCGTATTACGTAACTCCACCGAAGACTTACTAACCGTATTTTCGTTTGACAAAGTTTGTAAACACACACACACACACACAAACATACAAAATAACCCATATATATTTGCGATTGTACAGCTGTGAAAATGAATTCACAGAAAAGACTCTTCGCTGAACTACTGGTCTTCTCTTTATGTCATTGAGAACGATGTGGAGCCATATCACCAAACGTCTCCAATCTTCGTTGCTCCTCACCATCCCACCCACGATGTCTACACCTTCATACGTGATTGGCTCAAACTACCTATCAAAAACCTCATGGAGTTATGCCTACTTTCGCTTTGAACACCATCGGTTGCTACTCTTTTCCAACATCCGCCCATGTCAACTAACCAACTTTCTTCAGCATACGCGACAATTGTCCTAGCCATCTCAATCGATGTAACTGCTTCACCAACTCTTCGATTGACTTCCACTCCCCTTACCTAACACTTGATCGAAGCATAACCTCAGTATTACTCACCCTATAACACTTACCACACAACACGGGAAATACACTCCAGACACGTGAGAAGAAAGACAGCTAGCCAGCCAACCAGTCTTTCCATATCGTCCACGCTGTCAATGGCCGTGTCTCACTCACAGACATAAAGGAGGACGGAGAGAACTGCTGCTGTACACTTTACACGTCCTTTATTAAACTTATAAGTCAGCCAGATCCCATGTCCACTAAGCCAAAGATGGCGTAAGTTGTTTTGTACGACAAATGAGGAGCCTTCTGTCAGCGATCAACCCGCTGCGGTTGATGCAACTTATCCAATAAGTGAAGTGGTCAATACGCTCCACCATCAACCACTTCACTCCCCAACCTTTAAGCTACGAGCGAGTCAATGTAGTCCAGTCCTGTAGCATATAACAGTCGTGAAACACATGCCAAACATTCGAAGATTGCTGCTCTTCAAGGTGTTCAAAAGACTTAAAGTCTTAACCTGTAAGGACTATATCATCTGTGAATTCTACGTTGTGTAACAACCCAACCCCTAAGTAGTCGGTGAAGTAATGACTGTGGTTATACTTCCCAGCAGTGACTACGTGTGCGTACGAATATCAAACTAGATAGCATACAAGAAGTTAATAATAATAATAATAATTAGCATGAATGACATCTGTTCCACCTAGCACAAATGCATCCCGCTAATTTTTCCACTCTTTTTTTTGAAAAAAACTTCTCTATCATCAAAGAATCTCATCAAAAAGACAACTCATCACCTTTGTTACTATCCTAGCACCAACCTTTACCTGTTTAGTTAAAATAACCTTAAGCAATTGTAATTCTTGTATGCACTTAGATCTCTTACATAATTTCTACTTTGTTTCTATGTGCATCCTGAGTGAAACTCACTATTATTATTACAACTGTTTGTGACAACTCATCACCTTTGTTACTACCCTAGTTTCACTAACACTTAATTCTCTTGACCTGTATTACCAACCTTCACTTGTTTAGTTAAAATTAACCTTAACCAATTGTACCTTTGTTTGACAAACTTAATGTACACATACATACAAAATAATGCATATATATTTGCGATTGTACAGCTAAGAAGATGAATTCGCCGAAAAAAGACTCTTCGCTGATCTACGTGTTTTGTTTTCATTAATGCCTGGATGGGGATTATCCATGAATTGAAACGTAGCAAGGACCCCTCGACAGTCAAGGAACTCAATGGGTTTCTGCGGTACTCTGTCAAGCTTGCTGTGGGGAAAGCGAAAGTTGGCTTTTTCGAGGATTGCGTCTCTAGTCATCAGTATCCAAAGTGGTTCTGGAAAGCACTTCGACGCAATCATATATATCCAAATACGAAGTCCCTTCAACGCCATGCAATGAATTGTGCTGATTCTATCAGATCACGTATGCCCGAACTGCAGCGGAATATCAATCAGAGGTCCTCTGCCTTAGACGAATTGACTTCGGACGAATGTCAAAGATTCACTGAATATATCAACTTGGTTGCAAATAAACGATCGCAGTCCGTTGTAACCCAGCTCAACAACAGCCTAAAGCAGATGAAACCTCAAGGCAAATTTCCTGACGAACACACGAAGTTTGTGTTCAATTATTCCTCAGTACCTTTAACCGACGTGCAACTGGAAGTCCTATCTCTGGGCCCTAAATTCTGCGATATAAATTTCAACGCCGACAAACTCCATACTCAGGTCCAGTTTGAAAATCTAATCAGCGAAACGCACGATGTCAACCCAACTTCTGAAGACGAATTACAGAGATTCAAGTCAACAATCATCGACTGCTGCCATCAATACTTGAATACAAAATCAAAAGTCCGCAACCACCTGACGAAGCGGCACCGAGAGGAATTAAAATAGTTGAGAGATAACAAAGATCTGCTTATAACTCGGCTCGACAAGGGTGCTGGTGTAGTGCTTCTGAATCGAAGAGACTACATCGAGAAAATGAACGATATACTGTCGAATGAAGATAAATTTTCCCAAGCTTCCAATGAAAGAAACAAGATGGAACAGATTGAGAAGCAGCTCACAGACGTCTTGAAGAGAATGAAGGCCAGTCAACTAATCAGTGGGGATATTTACGACCAGATCCGGCCAACAGGTTCAGTAATACCAAGACTTTATGGTCTACCAAAGGACACAAGATTGGTCTCCCAATTCGTCCAATTCTGGATATGTCAGGTTCCCCTTACCACTCTATTGCAAAAAAGAAAATCCACACGAACCTCAGTTAGGGTCATCAGACGATAGAAAAACAAATTGTCTTTTTTTAAAAACTTCCTTATATATTTTATTTATCTAACCAAAAAAACAAAAAATCGAAAAATTCTCATAGGAATGATTTGTCCATACATGCTCCATCGTCACATTACGAATAAAAACCCGCTATCTCTTCTATTTTTGAGACGGTTGTTGCATTCTTAATTGGAAAAAATATATATGTAGAGAGAAAGAGAAAGGGGGGGGAGTGAGGTTTATTCAATCCACTACTACTGCATGTGATACATACAGAGCGAGATACAAAAGAGAGCATCGACAACAACACACAGCACACCCCTCCTCCTCCCCCTTCTCATCAGCATTAGTCAAAATAGTCGTCATAGCGGCATCTCATTACATATAACGCAAAAATAAAACACAAGTCTGTCTGATGAAGGGAAGAAAGAAATTGGCTCATTAAGAAAGAAAGAAAAAGGGGTAAAAAAAGAGACAGACTGATACAAAAAAATATTTTTTAAACCTGTCCATCATCATTTTTCTTGCCCCTCACATCATCATCATCATCATGTTCTCACATAGTAACAAAAAGAGGAATATTTCTACAAAGAAATAATCCTAGTGAACATACTACTAATAATATATACGAAGAGTAAATAAGTAGTAGTAGTAGTAGTCTCATAGCAAAATTTACCAAAATATTCATCAGAAAGAGGACCAGAAGAAGATCAAGAAGAGCAACACCGACGACTGAGGATATCAGGAAGGTACCTACCTGCCTACCTCGCGTCAACTTCAGAAATGCACATATACACTCAAATTATCGTGTTAAGAACTGGAAAAAAAACATGTACATATCAAGAGGTGGAAAAAAGTCGATGATAGAAAGAAAAAAGAGAAGAAGAAGGAATAAGAAGAGGAGGAGATGAGTTACACAAGTGGAGAAAATGAGAAAAGAGGCGTAGTAGTAATAACAATAATAATAATAAGGTGACGACCATGGTGACAATCAGTGAAAGATGATGACGATGATGATGATGGCGATGACGGACGATGATTTGAGGAGAGCCACCTACCACCTACTACCTCTGCGCTGATAATATAAACACTTGTCAAATATAGTGATATCATCCATTCGGCATAATATCCTCATCATTTCGTGTGTATGTGCAAATGTGTTTTTTTAATAAAAATAAAAATAAGACCTTTATTTAATATTTCTCGTATAAAGAATAGTAATAAGAATACCCTCTTGATTATTTTTTTTTGCTGTTTATGTGTTTTTGTTTTTGTGTGGAAAGTTTTTTGCCCTCCACATCCTAAAAGTTGTTAAACAAAAATAGAGAGAGATACTAAGCATATAACAAATGGCTATGTGTTTATGTATGCATATAGATAGAAAGATGGATGTGAATAGATGCATAGATGGATGGATATTCTTTTTGAATATATAGAATTACTAATAAATATATATAAAAATCTAATTTCAATTGATCATTGAACAAGAGTGCCGCATGTTTGTTTGTCTGTTTTTTTGAAAGGAAAAAAGACAGAAGATTCTCTCTATCTCTCTCGCTCGCTCTGACGGACATTGAGAAGACGACGAAGAAGGAGGAAGGAGGCGAGGCGGCGGCCGGTCGGTCGGAAGGGAAAGTAGAATGAAGAAGAATGTGAATACAAGAGGGAAGAGGGAAGAGGCAGGATGCAAAAAATTTGAAAATAATAAAGAGAATGACGACGAATGGAGTGATTATATTCATTAATGGTAGTAGTAGTTGTTGTAATAATAATAATAATAGTAATATAGCTGCAATAGTAACCTAACCATGGTGTATTAGAAACAGTAAAGATAAAGATTACAATAGTCAGAACTTGTTATTGGAATATAAAAAATGGGGGGGGGGCAGGTAGAACTGTTGTGATGATGTTTAACACCATCACCAATATCGACCTCCGTCTTCTTCGTCTTCTAGTTGCCTTTTTTCATACCGCTGGCACTACTGTTGGCTGTTGCGGTGGTGTTTGAATGGTGACTGTTTCCGTAGGGTTTGCGACTATCTGAAAGACAATAAAGTAAAACAAGAATAGACAGAATAGACATGTGAAGACAGGAAGAAACCTTAGACGAGTGACGACACCAACAGCAGCGACAGCAGCAGAAGCAATGGAATGCTGTTAGATAAATGGCTTAGACAGACGCACACACCACACACACACACACACAATCACATAATCACACTGTATTGTACACACAGTTGAATCGACATAGATTGGGTTGGATATGACTAAAGAAAATCTACTGGTTGCTTGGCTTGGCTATCGTCCATTATTATTTCCATTTCCACCCAAAACACAGAGATACACGCGTAAACGCGCATGTGTACCGTCCGGCTATCACCATACACGCCTTCATCACCACACAATTAACACACACGCACGCACGCACACATACACATAAAGAGAGAGAGAGGGAGGAGGGAAGATAAGACACAAACATGCCAACAGGAAATACAAGAAGAACAAGAAAAAACACTGGACAAATATTGATTGCATGCAACATTGATACACACACACACGCTACCGACATCGAGTGTCTTTCTGTCACTCCGCTTTCGCTTTTGCATGGAGACGCGCGTACGTGCATAGATGTAGTAGGCGGAGTAGTGAAATACTGTTGTTGAATAGATAGTGCTTCTCTATCATCACACATTCAACAAGAACAACTTATCTCTTTTTATGTGATGCAAAGCAAAAGAAAACAAGTCAATACTTGTTGTTCTCTTCTCTAATAGGTAGGACAACAAGACAGGCGATTGGACTCAAGGGAATTTGATATATGAGTCATCCATCGTCTTGTACCACACACCAGCACACACACACGTTGAAAGAAAACGTCTTTTACTTCTTCATAAAATGAACATGTTAGATGTGTGTATGTGACAACGTGTGATGATGTATGATTCGGATTAGCAAGCAAAAAGCAATGACTGACTAATCATGGCATACAACAACTTCTAAAAACTAAAGACAGGTGTGTACATGCGACAATCTTGTCAACCTTGGTCAGTGAGTCAGTCAATGAGAGATGCTGCTGTCTCTCACAGACAATATTAGGCTTGTTGTTGTCAGCCAAAATTTATTCATTTTCATAAAAACAATAAATAGGCGTTTGATTCTATATTTGGACTTTTGATTCATCCGATTGACAATCGGTCTAGGTAGATTTAGTTAAATGTCTATGTTAGATGATTGGAAGTAATCGAAAGGAAGCCTTGGTCGACCTAGGCTTCGTGCTAGTTGACACTTAACAGTCAGCAAGGTATATCTGCAATCCCCATGAAGGAAATGATGGACACTAGGTAACTAGTATGCAATCAAAGTGTCCAGTACAGTCAGTTCTACAGGAGGTCAGTCGCCAGCCACTGGGACCCGATCCAATGGCCCATGAATTCTAACTTCTGCCAATTCAAGATATAGTGCAACCGCTAGCCGATGTCTTCGGCGAGCATTTGTCCTCACACCCGACTTCCCACTAGAAAAAATATTAGAAATACAAAAAATGTTTAAAAAAACAAACCTGTTTTTCGCTGGAATCGTAGAGGCGAAATGACAGAGAGGGCTGGCGAAAGCTTTAGGAAAGTCGTTCAGTCAACCAACTTGTCTTCTTTAGATCAGATTAACAAATAAGAATGAGGACGTGGAATGTTTGTAGAATGTACCAGGCTGGGAAGGCTGCTCAGTGCTTGGAACCTGAGAGAGCAGATGGAATCAATGTGGACCTGCCGAAATTGTCAACTGGGGAGTCATTAATCTACTCCAACCATCCAGACGACACTGTACACTTTTTTCAGCATCTTTAATTGGAATGACTGTTTCCTTCCTTATTATTTTGTGTTCCTAGTGGAACATAGGGCTTAATACAAGTTAGAGCTTCGAATGTTCGGTAGGATTGTTTTTATTTTACACGATAGAGAACGTCTGCGAGGATTCGAACCCCAGACAACCTGCGTTGTTGTCTAACGAATTTATATAAGTAGTATGAAATTGGAAAGAACTACGATGTGAAATAATACACTCTACTCAATCAGTGACCACCCCAGCAGAAGATACCTCCTCTTGAAATTTTCATCAGTTATCTAGTTTTCCTGAATCTTTAAACTAAGACCTATTTTCTTCACTGCTAATATATTAACACTGAAGGATTCCTCTGTTTTCTTTGCGTGCAGAGACTTCTTATTTTCACCAGTTGATAAAATTTTGAAATCTCTTATAGTTCTCTTCTCATTTCAATGGACAATCCTAATTTTGGTTACACTACTTACTACTGACGCTCGTGTACAAATGATAACTCCTGTTGTGCTCTCGCAAGCCCCCTTTCCCCACCCCACCCTCATGGTTAAGTATGCAAGGCAGACAATCATCAGTCTGAAATCAGTTTAGAAATCTGCTTCATTCACAGTGTTGATAACAAAATTTGGATTTTCAATACCAATGTCAAGTTAGTCAGTTCTTCATCTACATGGGTCAGGCTCCCCCGTGTCACGGAAAACATCTCGAACAGACTGGAGACTTTTATGAATATAGCTGCACACGACACGCTCCATAGTGAAAATCACAAGAACCCTTCACCCAATAAGGATGCCGAAGATAATGGAAATTGATTGAAAAAAAACGCTCAGAAGACTGTCAATTGACATCGATCGAGTAGAACCCAAGTGGGAAACGACAAGTTTAGCGGGCGTCCTAGGGTGACATTCAGTAAATCGTGTGAGGAGGAGATCAGAGACTATGAGTAATCGTGGATGCAGTTAAAGAGGATGGCAGAGAATAGGACAAAGTGTGAATGTGCTGTTGGCACCCCCAGTGGAACAATAAATAGTAACAATAATAACCATGATTATATCGCTTAGAATCACGTTATCTGGCAGAATCCAAATATATATACATATCTCTAGCTAAATTCAGTTATGGTGATAATTATTTTTCATCCCCAAGAATTTTAAAGTACAACCAGCTAAGATAAAAAAATAGGTGGTAATTTCATTCGGCCATGTCATGTTATCGAACTATCTCATCACCACCCACCCAACCTGCTTCTCCTTCACTTCACAGAACAAACTCCACCTTTTGCTAAGCTAAACATGCATACCGAACAAATGTGAGATAAAAGGGACGACGGGGTAATTTACACTCAATGTCACACATTAAAGTGAAGAATACACAAATAACATCTATACACACGGACAAAGACATAAACAAGTGATGTAATCACACAAATGGTGTTACGCAACAACAACAACAACTGTGAACACTATACACTATAGACAGATACACGAACATCTCATAGGAGTTAGAGACAGACATAAAAAGTATAGTGATAAACAACACACCGACAGAGAGTAGACACGAATAACGAGATACGCCTTGACGACATCAAACACACACACACGCACACAGGATTATGAACAAATAAGCACACACACTCAAGCTGTAATCGATATTTAATACACGAATTGATCCGATCAGAGCAACACAAATGAATTGACGATTAGCTAGCTAGCTAGCTGTATGTACGTGTGTGTGTGTGTTTGTGAGTGTGTGAGTTGACATTACTCATCGAACACTTATTTACCTCAGAATATAAAGTCGGAGGAGTGGTGGTTGGCGTTGTTGTTGTTGACATTGTTGTTATTATTGTCGTGTTGATGTCCCCAGACGGTGGAATAGCAGTAGTAGTAGTAGTCAAGCCTGCACCTTGTTTTTGTCCTGACTCACGTGTATCACGAGATTTTCTGTTCGACGATGAATTTGACGATGGGTTACTGCCTACAGTCATTTACACACATGCATACAAATATGTGACATATTAGTGAGAGTACATACATATATAGAGACGAAGAAGGATTACACCAATGCAAATAAACGACCTAATAACAAGGGCGAATATTAGCACATACTCGACTAATAAAAATAAATAAATATCTAAAAAAAGCTTGATGTCAAACATCTGATACCAAAGGATTCGACGACACTGTGAATAGAAATCCTACAGCTGCCCAATAGTTCGAAGTGGAAGGTGAACACAGCAGGATTCTTTCATCTGAATACATTCAAAAGGTCACACATATAAGAGATGTGTTTCTTTTCGTAGAAAAATCAAGACTCACTCTCTTTCCTTCTCTCTCTCTCTCTCTATCGTTAACTCACCTTTTGGTCGTTTCAGTTGAACTTTCAATCGTTTCATGCCAATTTGAAAACCATTCATTGCTTGAATTGCATTCTGAGCACTTGTATGATTGTCGAAACTGACAAAACCTGTAAGGGAAGTGTAAAGTAATTAAATAAGAGGAATGATTTCAACTGATGGGGACTATCTGGCTGGTTGTAAAGCTCCAAGTACCAGATTGGATTGATGGCTCTATGCTAGAGACAACAACAGTTGGACTTATTTCTCTTGAATACATAGACTGGAGTTGCTTGAACTTTTGAATCGCTAGTACTCACAGCTATGTGCGCGCCCGGATGTATTCATCTCACTCTCTTTAAGAGGTTTGATCGTATCGTGTATTTCACTTGGAAGAACTTTTCAAATAACCCACTAGATCCTATCTTTCTCTTTGTTTTACTTTCATTAAATGTTATTTCTCTATTCGCAGTCCTATTTATAACTTGCTCTTTTGACCGGAAATAGTTGTGAAACTTTCTCAACCCATTTACTAAAAATACGCATACTTAGAACAATAATCTCATCTGTGTAGTAGACCATACACGAAATCCCCTTAGTAAAATTGGACAAAGTAATAACAATAACACAAGGAACAAGGATGCGACCGACTTTCTATAATTATACTATTGGCTTACATGGGACATCCTACACTTGTGAAACTTAGCTAGCCAATAAGATGTGTATACGAGATGATCTAGGCTTTCAATTCGTGGTGTGTTATATGGAATTATCCATGATTTCCCTTTTATTTTTTTTAACAGGGAATTATCTATCTCGGTGCATGTTTGCATCATTCATCCTTCACGGTTGAATGAATCAAATTATTTTAGTTGTTGTCAATCCTCTGCATGTGCAGAGGATTTCACGACACCGATGGAGTTGTTGATGAATTCTCAAGGTCTGACTAAATCTTGCAGTGTGTCCAACAAAGCAGCAAAAGGTGCTGACTACAGTGTGGAGTAGATTTCCTATCTTATCAAACATAACTCAACAACACGATAATTACAGACTACAATAGATGACATATTTCGTAGTGTCCAAGGTATTTTCAGCTAGCTAGCTAACCGGTAAGGTGTTTCAAAAGCGCCATCGTTTATGAGGTAGGTATAAAAAGCATCGCCACCCAACATGATGTGGTACATATGGCTTCAAGCGACGGGTTTGAAGTTTTGGTAGCAGTGATGTTGCATTTCTCATGCTTTACCTACCTACTGGCTAGCGGCTGCTTAACAAGGTTCAGGAGTGCCTCAGTGACCGAGGGTCAAACCCTGGGCCATGTGAGGCATGGTTGGCAAGCGTTCATTCTACCACGGAACCGCCGACACTGGAACTAGACACTGTGAATCTAAATGTATTTAGATAAAGCGCATTCAAACTGCCTGAATAAAGATGCTTCATATAGACTAAACTAAGAGTCACAGCAGTGATACTATTCAGTTCCCTCACCCCCCCCCTGGTTGATGCAGATCACGCGTAAACTCGGAATGACGAGAGCTTAGACAGCCTGTGCAGGTTCTATTTTATGATAGTCAATAATCTAAATAAAGAGCCAACAATTAGAAACATACGGTTACCAAAATTTTATGAAACTACTTTTCTCCTGGTATTTTGTCTGAGTCTATCGGCGACGCTCTAAATTTCTCAGAAATCACCAAAAAATATTCATCAAAGGACAACTTGGGGAAACAGTGGAAACAAAGAAATCACCATTTCAATTGATGTATAAGAGAGAATCACGACTAAAAATACATGGCACAAACTAGCTCCTTCACCAAGAGTGGAATATGCCGAGAATGGCTGAGAATGGAACGGAAAGAAGCCATCAAGAATGTAAAGCATAAACAGGAGAAAGACGTCACGAAATCTTTACAGAGCGATCGAGTAAGATATAAAGGAAGAAAGTTCAAGGTTAGATGTGAGTTAGGTTCGCAGAAACTCCATCCGAACTGGAAAGGGTTATACACACTGTCACCGAGAGACGTGGTACTCTCTATACCACCAACAGAGGAAGTAAACAGAAACGGGGCAACGTCAGCCAACTTCAGAAATGGATAAAGCGACATCAAAGTATAACTGGGACAGGTAGGACCAAGAAGGTCGGTGTGGTTCCACTCGGAACTATCTGTCGGGAAGACGTGTGTGGTGTGTACTACTGACAGGATTTATCAGCAGTATATAAACAGACGTTGTTCAAAATAAAAATATAAAATAGCAGAGAGATAGTTTCACCGTCAAAGAGAGGGCAAATTAACCAGTGTTGTGGTGAAACATCAAAGACACGAAAAGAAGAAAAAGAAACACAAACGAAAGGACGCGAAGTAGTACAACACGGAAGATGTGTACTAGTGCATAATTTCCCTATGTTAAGATACCAAATTGTCTTCTTTTCTACAGTCACAGTAGCCATGAAACTTACCGAAACATTTACTTTGAAGTGTGACACGATCAACATACACCTTTGCACTGATTAGTGTTCCGAATGGCATAAACATTTGAGCTAATTCATGATCGCCAAACTCTTGTGGTAAATGATAAATGAACAAATTACACCCTTCAGGACCTGAAATAATAAAACAACAAACAAGAGAAGGAATATTGATTAGGGGGAAAGAACATCACACATCTAGACATTTTAGATGAAATGATTATGACTGCTGGCCAACACCATGACATTGTGCACATGATCAGTCAGGTATCAATTCTCAGGCCGACAAACTCCTCATCAAAGCCTGCGACTTAAGTTGGCGTTAGTTAACTCAGTAACAGGAGAAAGAAGTAGTCAGAGGGAGGGAGCGTGGAGCTACCAACACTCCCACCGCATGAAAGAAAACCGACGCCACTGCTGGTTAAACTCCATAGGCCTAAACATGAAACCCTAAACTCGTCTCTATCTTCGGAAATTTGACCGATTGAAATACAAAAATAAATCAAAAATGCGGCTCGAAATTAAAAGCGTATTTGATGCATAGAAGGTGGGTGGGTGTATTTCTGGTCGCTCAAAGACAAACATTAGTGCAGAATGACATGGGTCCCCTTCACTTCGTCAGTTCCCGTCAGCTGCGTAGGACCTATAATGATCTTCTAATATAGTAAACCAGTGTATAAAATTTTACATGCTTGCTGGGGGTATGTCAATAAAACGGCTGAAACCTGACCAATGTATTGTCCAAACGAATCTATCATTGGACTTCAATTACCCTGGTGACTCATCCCTTTGTAACTATTTGTTTTAAAATTTCATTGACTTATCACGCATCACTTTGATGTCCATAAGAGAAAATTCATCTCAACCTTTTGAGTACTACTCACCATATTACATCATCATCATCCTTTTATTTGACCTTTCACACACCAAACTTTGACCTACGTAACTGATACTAAATTTTTTTCACCACCCTAACAACAAATATGTCCATAGATTTATTGAGAAACTTCTCTCTAACAAGACCGATATATGTATACTGACTTATTAAGGATCATAATAGGTGTTAGGCAGCTGATGAGAACCAACGAAGTAAAATGGACTCATGTTATTCTGCATCAGAGTATTTTCTTTCTCTGCTCAAATTTACAATAGAGCATGGTTGTGTGAAATGATTCAAACAGGTTACTGCCAGTCAGCCGCCCAATTAGAAATATAATTTGAGCATCTATGTTCACAATCCCTAATTCAATCACGTATGAGAATTTGCTTGCGAATGTCACAAACTTTTAGAGAAGTAGTTGTTCGAAGTTTATTGTAAGTCAATACCGCTTCATGTCAGTTTATTGTCAGTCAGGTGCAACACACCAAAACACAACACCGAGAAATGACTACCCAACAATACCATCCGACATATGTGTAACAAATCTCCGAATAAAAGAGAGCGAGCTTTGGAACTGTTAGTCGTTTGGATGCCATGCTTGCTTAACTGAGGATACTTGCTAGTCTTCACTCATGTAAGCGGTCAATTCCTAGGTTTCATCACAGATGAGAATAAAATTCACCTCAAATTGTTTCCAAGTACGCAAAAGTACGAAATGTTAGGCATCCGCAGTTCAGTAGTGTAGAATGCTCGTCGACCACATAATAAACGTAGCCAGTGGTTCGATTCTTTGACCGGTGCACTCGTAAACCTCTTTCAGTGAGCTCGGTAGAGCAGTCGGGTTAGGCGTGAAGCTAGCGGGAACTCCCATCGCATAAATAATAATAAATAAGACACCACTAATGAAGCATCATAACTAAAACTTTGAAACCCCCTACACTCCCCTCGGAACACCAAAGAATAAACATACACTCGTATCATCAATACTTAGACAGATGATTTAGGGCATTTAAGAAGCCTAGCAGTAACATGTTGTGTTTTTGTCAATGTCTAATTCCTACCTTGGTCAACACAACTGTGTCAGAATAACTTATCTGAAAACTAATCCAATCAAACACAGTCAGACAGGACTTCAAGTGAACATTGAGCCGGAAAGCACCAATCACTATCATCATCAGAGGGAGAAATTTCAATGAGGTCACTTCCTTCACTTATCTAGCCAGCATAGTTCCAATTACAGGCAACAACATGGAGATGAGCCCAGCCCGGAAATCCCTCCGAAATCAGTTGAGAAATCTTCTGTACTCAGAATATCAACAAAGTTTCACATCTTCAACACCAATCTCACACATCAGTAACTTCTCCTACTATATGATTCAGAGACTCGGCGGTGCGTCAAGAAAGGCATATCAATCAGGCAGCTGAAGACTTTCGTTAATAGCTGCCGTCCCTCGCTTGATACTGAAGATCAGAAAGCCAGTAGGTCGGGAAGGATAAGCAGCAAAGAATCCTGACAACGAACTAACCAAGATGCTATCACCTAATAAGTATGTCGGAGAAAATGAAGAGTGTCAGGAGACAATTGCGTGATACCACGCATCAGACACGAAGCTTTGAGCGGAACCCGAATAGCGAAATAAGAGTTGTGTTTTATTCCAAGGAGGAGATGGAGGATATGACAGCTTATGGACGATCATGTGGTCAGCCGCAAAGGATTACACTAAGATAAGGATGAAATGGAAATGTGCCATAGAAGCCCCATATGTCCCTCTTGAGAGCCAAGAGAATAATAAAGCAATAATGATAATAATAATAATAATGGTCAATAATATAATCTACCTGTCAATATGAGTTCCCTGGTACCTTCTTTCTGTTGAACTGGCATAGACAAGGCTTGATGATGCAAATTAGAGAATGAGGTATACGCGGCTCCTGCAGCAGGATAAGCTGAAATAATGAAAACGCACAGAGACACATGCATAAGGTGACTCAGAAATATCAGAATTATCAAAAACAAAACAAAACATATCAAACACTTACGTACAATTTAATATATTTACAGAGAACAAAAGACTCAAAAATACACAGTAACTTCATTGTAATGAAGGCAGAAAAGCAAAGGCATACAATGACTGTCTGTGAAACTGGCCTTCAATCCCTAATACTCAAACATGATGTCTTTTTAGATGATAATCGCATTGTAAGAGATTCAACTACGTTGTCGAGACCAATTAGGTCGTTGAAATGCTTTATAAAACATTCTATTGCCAAGTAGTTTATGGGACTGACACCAAAAACCATATACGCTTAGAAAATCAATCACTTGAGATAGAGAGAGGGGGGAACATAGGAAATTAAATGATGATGTCTACACTACTACTCAAGAGTGAAAACTATTTGAGATTCTGAGATCACTGTGAGAGACTGCATTCACAGGGACAACTTATGTCCTTCATCACATGTCTTCCTACTGAGCAACTACCAACACAGCCTTACCACAACTAAAAAAGGATAAAATACATAAAATTTGTTCCAATTTCGCCTTAAGCGGAAACTGACTTATTCTTGTGACAAAAAACAGCAAAATAAATTATTTTTATCAAGGAGAAACTCCATAAACAACTCACCTAAACCATAGGCTTGAAGACCAGCATACAACTGATGCATGGGATCACTGACAAACGATTGTCCTGATGCTGAAAACAACAAAATATGAAAAGAGGAAAATAAGACTCAAATATTATCTTTGTGTATGTACAACACCAAAAACACATCGGAAATCAATAACTACACTCCTCTCCACTTTGAGTAGAAATGCGAAAAAGATGTGTAAGTGTGACGATAACAGGTCTTATGATTAAATTTTCAGTCAATAGGCGAATGGGGACGGACCCCGGCTGGAATATGGCTTGGACGATTTAGGAGGAGTATGATCAGCGCTTACCGTTGAACTCAGAGTGTCTGTGTAAGCATCACAACAATATACTTGACTTGAAATTCTAGGCATAACGCCACCAGACATCATTTGTTGCCTAATTATTCATATTAGTGATATTTCGGACTCTATGTTTTATTTACCCTAGGCCCAATATATGCACATATGATGTGTAATTTTTAAAACCCTGCAGAATTGTTTCGTGATACTGTCTGTGCATTACTGCGTAATGCATAATTGCGCTTAGTACAAAATGCATTAGAATAAAGTAGACTAAACTGACACACTCCTTATTTGTCAATCCAACCGTTGAATAAGATGAATTTACAGTACGACATGTCGGTTAGTGCAATGTTACCTATTGAAAATTAAGGAGATCCTCTCAATACTACAAAAAAATCACGAAAAAATTATAATTATTATTATTGATTCCTTTAATTCCTAGAGAAACATAGGGCTTCAGCCGTGCGTCTCCATTGCGTTCGCTTCTCTGCTAGAGTCTTCACCTGGCTCCAAGTCTGCCCACACGTTTTCATCTCCTCTTCACATCACATCCTCCAAGTCACCCCACCTTCGCACTGACGACCAACTCGCCGCTTCCCTTTCGGGTTCCACTCGAGCAATGGCTTGTCTAGTGATGTCACTTGATGGTTTCCTCAGAGTAATAATAGTAAAATAATAAGTCTAATAGTCACTCAGCCAAATGTCGGTAAGATGGATTTAAGGCCACAGCCCATCGGTATGTAGTGCCAGAATATCTCTCTCCATCACACAGGTTGAACTGATTGACTAAAAAATATTCACTACAGTGTGACAACCACGTCCAACTGTGTAAAATTTCCAATCGAATTCACATTGTCTCTGAAGCTTGAAAACAATGCTATTTGTACATAATTTATGATTTCTACGGAAGATTTACACAAATAGTCTTAAGCTAAGTCGAGAAAAAAACTATAGCTGTTAGTAGTAACCGAGGAAACTTCAAGACAATTAACCCTGAAACAACGACTCGATCACCTTATTCATCATGAATGCCGTTATGCATGTATATGGCGTTCTAGTTTCATCTGCATATTGCAGTATCCTGCATCAGGCTTAACTAAGAACCTTCAAGACATGAATTATCATTCCATTGTGTTCTAGGTGCAACATAGGAGAGAGAGAAGCGGGGCCTCAGCAGGATTTTCCCATTTCGCCATGTTGTCTACACTCCAATTTTTCTGGCCGACTCACTCTCTATGAATGTCCATAAAAGCTTTCATATCCTTTTCACACGATCTCTTCTCTATGCCATCCCAGGGTAGAAAACATTTGTTGTTTCCAACTGGGATTCCAGTCGAGTGTTTAGTGTAACGACTGGTTTCTCAATGCTTACTGTGACACAACAACTGTCCATTACTGCTCTTCAATGGTCCTCTAACTGCTTTCAATCTGTGATCAAATATGGGTGCTTTGTTTACAAAGACAAAAACTGTGGACAAAACTCACCTGCTGCAGCAGCAGCGGCCAACGCTGCAGCATGCTGTAATGCTGCATTCTCCGTCAAATAAGAATTCAACACATTATTCCCACCATGTGCTAAAGCCGCAGATTGAGCGGCAGCGGCAGCAGCGAATGACGGATGTAGTTGTTGAAATTGTAATGCATTTGGATTCGTTTGACCTGTTGCTGAATTCTGTAGTGCAACAGCAGCTGCATACAAACTTGTTGGATCGTTGGTTAACGTTTGTGGTGTCAGCAAACCTGGACTGACAGTTGGTGGTGTAGATGCGGCTGGAGTCATCATACCAGGTGATGAAGCCAAAATATTGCCAGCACCAGATGAAGTTATTGAGACAGGTTGACCTCCTGTGACAGTATTACCAATACTGGCAAAACTTGGTGATACTGTTGATGGTGATGCAGACATGAGTAACCCAGTGGTAAGGGCATTGTGAAATTCATTACCGACGGATACACCAGATGTTGTCATAGCATCAGACATTAAAGTGCCATTACCTACTTGTGTAAGAGCAGCTAGTGTTGCCATATCAGTCAACGGAAACAATGAACCTAGTGGGAGAAAGAAAGGAAATTTATTATTATCATTATCTTAAAAGTACAAAATGCGTGTAGAGGCGTTCGACTGGGTAGTCTGCCGGTATATTCTTACATGAGTAGCCGTACTGTGTATAATAACATCGTTAACCACCTGATTTGTATACAAGAAAGAGCAGACTATGGACTGTCACTGGAGTTCCTTGGCAGCTTTATTTTGTCTCCATCATAGTATAATCCACATTTGTGATACTTTATAATATCTCACGGGTTGACAACAATCACTTAGAGAACAAGCGCACACCAGATTGGAGGGGGTGAGGTACTGTATGGCTATTTCAACATAGTTTAGAACGACACATCGTGATCGAAAGTGCCTTTGACCACAGACACTTGTATTCTATCTCCCATACTTAGGGGTATTATACAGTAAGCATTTTCGAGGTAAAGGGTAGAGTCAATATCGATGAGACTGTGAATCTACATTGACTGAGATTGTTAGGTCAAGTGTGATGCACACTGAGTCACCGCCTTCCTTGGTCAAGAGAACTCAACTGATTTGCGATCAGGTTTCGAAAAGATTTTACGCATGTTCGAACGGAAAACTGGAATCAATCTATGGAGGCTTTGATATCTGTTTGGCACCGCGCAGAGAGAGCTGTAGACTGCCTCTTTGCTAAGAGACAGATGATTTAAGGCTGTCCGTGATACACCTCAAAACATGAAAAAGGGTTAGGGGGTGCTCAAACCGAAACCTATAATAAAACCATGAAGGTGGTTTTGGCCATGCAAGAGGTGGGGTAAACTACCTGGTAGTAGAGGACATGCCGGTCTGCCCCATGGGGAGCTGAAATACTCTGCCTTGTGGATTAGGCTGCAGGTCAAAGGCTCACGGGGTCCCCTTAGGACGACCACTCCATTGGTCTGAGCTTCTCTACAGTATACCAATCCTCCCACAAACGATCAGATCACACCTCTTGGTACCCATTATCTACTAACTTTGTGTTTTAATAATTGTGTTGTTAGATATAGAAAACAAATTACACATGTGTATGCATAAGTTTAACATACATTGAGGTAGAGTATTGTTTTGTAGTGCCGTAGCGGCGGCGGCGGCCGCGGCAGCAGCAGCAGGACAACCAGTAGCCAATGAGGCTAATGCAGCATTCGGTATTCCCTGACCACCACTAGTTCCTGTCAATGGATTATTGTTATTATTATTATGCTGAGCAACAGCAATCGATGGATGGCTAACCATAGAATTCAATTGTAACGGGATAGTTGTTGAACGATTCACCTGACTCTCGGTCAAGGAATTCATGTTGGTTAATTGTGGATTAGCATACTGCATAGCAGCTGCTGCAGCCATAAACGCTGCCATTGGATTGAAATATGCCGAGGCTGCTGTTTGTTGTGCCATTTGACTTTGTTGTTGTTGTTGGGCTTGTTGCTGCTGTTGGTGTTGGGTAGACTGGACAGAGGAATTCTGTATACCATTAGGAACTGGACTGGGATTGGAAGAGGGCATTAAACCGGGCTACAACACATGAAAGAGAGAGAGAGAGAGAAAACACACACACAAATCAAATAATCAAAGTGGTAAGCGGACGAAGATACTACAGAAATGTTTTGATCTGTTATAACAATATGGCGTGATGCTGACTGATAGGAAGTACGCATAATGAAATGAACATTTCATATCAATGCCTGTTTGCTTCGAGGCCATGAAATAACCTCCAATTGGACAACTTTGGCCAACAGTCAACTAACTAGAACAATTTATTCTCCTAACCCAGACGAACTTCAATGTAGCCAAGACCGTATATAAAAATTATATTTTTTTTCCTTAGTAAACGTCCGCTACATTTTGTGTCGCTGCCTTAGGACAATGAAGACCCCACGGCCGGCTGATTTTGAAGAAGACGTACAGAGCTTCTTGCGGACTTGAGTTGATAGACGTCCTGGATCTGGGGAAGACGGTGGTGCTGAGGACGCCACGGAAAGTTCAGGCAAAGACAGAGGAGACCTGGATTGGGCCATACTCACCCCAAGTAATGTGATCCCGTCCAATCCACCAGAATAGGAGACAAACAGAAATGCCATACCACCATCCAAATCTAGAGATGGAAACACACTCAAATATAAGCGAGTCGAAAAGATGCGACATTTTAATTTAATGGCTGTAGCGGTGCAAGTGTTTATTGTATAAATCTGAATTTAGTTAGTTTACTTTATGGACAACTTGTTTAACCTTGGGCCAAGTGTCTACCAATCAGGACAATTTACTCTCCTCTGACCTAGCCAAATTTTAATGTATGAATATGATTTGCTTTTCCTCAAAAAAAGGTTCGTTATCAAAAGATCTTATCTTCTGTTACAACAACACACAAGAGAAGAGGACAAAAACTTACTGTAAGCTGGCCACTTGGAAATTGTAATGAATAGCCAGGGGCAGCGCCAAGTGGTTGCTGCTGTTGTTGTTGGAAGGCGGCGACTGCAGCTGCCATAGCTGCCATATTCGATGCATCAGTATAACTAGTGCAAGAAGGACGAAGTGATTGTTGTGCAGTATACTGCTGCATTGATATATTCGATGCATTCAACTGACCATTAGTCATAGTATGATTCATATTATTGCCAGCATATCCTGCAGATGCTGGATTAGAGGATCCATTTACGGTATTCTGTTGTTGTTGATGATGTCGGCGAACTAAACGTTCCTTTTCATTGTCAGCAAATTTTACAACCAATGGAGAAGATGCACCCTAAAAGAAATATCATAAAAACCAAAGATGGGTCAGGAGAACTGTGATAATAATAGAAACCATTGATAACTTTGTACCCTACACCATAATGAAAAAGGACATTTACTCTGTACATCCTAAAGGATGGCTGGAAGACCTGGCCATTGAGGGTGGGAGACATGAATTGAGAAAGCAAGAGAATGGGAAGAACACGGTTATGGGGTGGGATAAAGAAGTACCGAAGGAATTCAGCACCCCAACCGAATATATTTCAAAGCAAATTTACTGTGCAAAAGTATTCAAGACAAACGATAACAGAACGAATAACGCGATGAATATTAAGAAGGAAAAAAACTTACTTGCATAGTTTGACTGTTATGCAAATGATCGATAGCGTTTATCGCCTCTGTATTCGTTGAGAATTTAATAAAAGCACAGCCTACAACACAGAGAAGAGAACAAAAGAGATTAGATAAACACGTCAAGAGGCGAGTCAATCTCTATGCGCACAAACATACACACACACACACAATTTCGCCTTGTACGAAAAATCAAAAACATATATTTACATAGATATATATATAAATATCGATTGATTTGTGTGACACTATGACAAGTAAATGACAAAACAATATTGAATGAATTACTCCATAAAATTCTATAGACAACTACCGGTAACAACCAGGTTAGAGTACCTGGGTAGGTGCCAAGTGCACCACACACACACATCTTCCCTCTTTCTTACATTATCTTCGGATAAACTGGTAGAGTAAACAGAGCACGGCTGGAGATTTCAAAATCAGCTAGTTGATAAGCGTCCAGGATCTGGGGAAGACAGTGGTGCTGAGGACGCCACGGAAATGTCAGGCAAAGGCAGAGGAGACCTGGACTGGGCCATACACTCCCCAAGAGATGTGATCCCGTCCAATCCATCAGAAGAGGAGATAAACCGAAATGCCATACCACCATTCAAAAACAGAGATGGAAACACACTCAAATATAAGAGAGTCGAAAAGATGCGACCAGGTTAGAGTAGCTGGGTAGGTGCCAAGTGCTCCACACACATCTTCCCTCTTTCTTACATTTTCTTCGGATAAACTGGTAGAGTAAACAGAGCACGGTTGGAGATTTCAAAATCAGCTAGGATCAGAAAAGCGAGAAAAACCTTCACTAATCTGAAATCGATATCGAAAATCTACTGCACACCATTCAGCATCCATGGTCAAGTTTCCCAGTGTGAGTGTCTATGGGCTTCATGGGCAAGACCTGGGGACAAAACGAAAAGCGACTCTCTAACACCTGCATGCCTTTGCTCCATACCGAAGATGAGATGGTTAGCCTAGCAAATATGCACCAGGAAATGGTGGATATACACGCTATACATATGTTGGAGAAGACTGGTGACGGTGGTGTCATCACACGCCAGCCAGAAAGGCTAGTCAAGTGGAACTGAATAGTGGATGGAATTTAAATTATTCCCTTACTCGCCGCCTTCTAGTATGAATGATGAGAGCAATCAGAAGGAAGAATAATGAATATGAGAAACTGATGTGCTGTGAATTTTGACCGGGTTCAAAGTGTAGCGCTTAATGCCATAAGTTAAATTTTCTATATAGAGCAGCAGAATGAATGGCGAACAAAAGTGAAAAATTCTTCAGCATACAAACAAAGATGCCTACCTTTACTCATTCCATTCTGATCCCGTAGGATAGTACACTCTTCAATTTGCCCGTATGGTGCAAATAAATTCTGTACATCCTCTTCTGTTTGATGCTTTCCCAGCATGCCGACAAATAGTTTACGATCATCTGAAAGTCGGAAATCAACAGAGGCGTTAGATGATGACTTTTTTTAGAATGACATGCAATAGTATGTAGATGGACAGAAATAGAAACAAATAAAAAAGTCCCAGGACTAAGGGCTATTATGTAATATGGCACAGCATACATCTATTATTCTCTGAAAGCAATGAAAGAAGGGAACCGCAGCACGTTCGCCGTTGATTGCGAGTCTCGGCAACACCTGATAGCATTTCGGGCCACTAATTCCTCCTGCCTTACGGACCTCTACAAGGGAGTCGTGACGTACCAGCCGATGCTAATCTAACACAAATATCCACCAGCCTTCGGTGCAACAACATGGGCTGACCACCTCTCCGCTTTTTCCATCCCCTCCCAAGGCTAGCGAACAGACAGCAGTACGGAAGATACTGAAACCGGTGTTTCCAAATTACGACGACACTCAACGAATGATGATTTTCACTGTGTCCAATCACGTCACTGGACCTCCGGATTACTCGCACGATAATGCGTCGAACGCAAGCCATTCTACGGTGACAGATGATCGATTACGCAGAGTCGCCGCAGAACCTCAGCTCGGAGACGCCAGATTTCACAGGCGTAGAGTAAGGCAGCGCGCATCGAAGCATTGCATACCCAACCTTTGACAGACAGACTAACGTCGCGGCGACGCCAGAGGTAGCTCAAATTGACGTATGCCAGTCTAGCTTTCATAAAACTTTTGGAAATCTCGTCCGTCACATCACCACCACCACCACCCACACAAACAACTACGTAGATACGCAAATTTACCGACAATGCACAAAATTTGCCTGGATATTCAAAATCTCGAAAGTGCAGCTTTCAGGAATCAAAATTAACTCAACTATCAGTTATCAAAGACAAAAATCAAATTTTACGGCTAAAAGTTAACTTATCAACTCTAAACCTGGATTAATAAGTTGCACTTCGCACTGACCCACACTTATCTACGTCGAATAATATAACTGCAGGGATGCAGTAACTGACTGCTTAGGGAATATAGGGAGTATGAACCACCTTAATCGTGTAAACCGAAGAAAACATAAATAAAATGTCAAACTCAGAGTCTATTGTTTCAGCCAACGATGAATTTAACTGACAGGTGTAATGAATCGCAAATGAGACCCCGGTAAAATAAATAACTATGTGAATTAATCGACAAAGGAAAAGTAGGCACAGTATGAAATATTGATCACACTCTCCTTGATTAGTCAATACAGTTCAAACTGCATTCACAAAACAAGAGATAACAGGAAGTTTTCATTTTAAAATGTTTACCCTTTTGGGTAAACCAAATAGGAGGAAATAAAGAACAACTTTTAAATCTAGTATCCTCCCAGCTAACAACTGTTCAATATTATCATCCAGGTAACATGTATGAACAGGTAACATGAACAACTAAATATACACAAAATTGGCGAACAGTATACCAAAAAATTGACAATTTAACACACCACTTAATTAAGGTCAATTGACTTGACACATTACCTGAATCTACTTCAATTAAAACGATTAAGTGGACGACTATTTTTAAGTTTATGTATAAAAAGTAACACTGATTCTCATTGTACTACACAAACTGAAATACGATATTTCAATTTTCACCACATAGATAGGGGGTAGAAAATCGCTGAAGTACTTACTAGACAGTTCTTTCTTTCTTCCTTTTTTGCGATTCGTCGGCAGCACGCACCTATCGCCACTGTTCAAACCCAATACCTTACTGTTACATGGCAAGCTCATCGACCTTTAAGCTAGAGGGTACCCCCGATAATGGTCGGAAAATTATTCTAATACTCGCTAGTGACTAACTTCAGAACGAAGCCGTCTGGAAGAGCTTTACTGAGAAGTTGGGTGTGACGACGAATACTCGCCGTCGACCACACTGGCTGATGCCAGTAGAGTTAGAATCACGAATTGTCATTGCCCTTATGGCTGAATGGTCTACGAGCTTGACTGGTAACCAGAAGGTCCTGGTGGGTTCGAACCATGGCGGTAGATGCGTAACTCCCAACAATTCTCAAACCGGGAAGAAACAGCTAGCTAGTGCTCCGGGGCCGGTTTTCAGTGGCTCTCTAACACATATCCAGCAGTGGGTGAACTTGAAATCCGTACAAACTAAGACTTAAAATAGATTGTTATTTTTTTGAAAAATGTAATATTCAATTTCAGACAAGGAAATCACAGTAAAGTAGAAACTGACTCATGTTATCTACCACTCAATAACCACAGTCAAATAGAACTCGGCTACCGGATACAAAACTATGAGTCACATTTATTCTGTGAAGAGTGAATTACGTGTAGCGAGATTCAAACCCAACACCCATTGGTTGAAAGTTGAGTGGTTAAGCCAATGGACGCTGGTCTATGTGCTCAGCTCCCACCTAACAAGGTCTAGGCACCCTGACAGCCATACAACAGGCTTGCGCCTCATCGTGGAACTGCAAATTTACTGTTAAGATGCTCAAATTTCAATCAGTAATGGCACATGTGCTTAAAACACGCTCCAACTGCTCTAAACTTTGGGCAAACCAAGTATAATATCTCTAACCATAAGCACCAAAAAATGTGTGAACTACACAGTGACTCAAATGAATTTTCAACGTGCAGAGCTTTGCACAAATATGCAACAGTTCAACTTGCCACACACCAAAAACCAAGTGCATATAAAGGTACACAAAAGGACTGAAAATAGACAGAAATATATATATGAAAGAAAAAGAATGACCACATGAAGAATAGCGAAAATAATGCCTAAACTCCATGAGTGAATCCCCTTGAACCATCATAATCACCAACAATCTCTCTATCCAGTCATCGACGCTTAAAGTCTTAACGAAGACTCTAGGCAAGCAGACCAGACCTGTCATCAGACTGAAGATACGTTGTTTTACTTTAAGAACTTCACACTCCAACCCAATGCTACCACGTCGGCTAGCACTGCTCGACAAGGAATGTTGGCTTGGCATGTGTAACATGTGTCCTAGCCATTTCAAACGATGTCACTTCACAACCTTCTCATTAATTGACTTCACCTCTTTACTTAACAGTCTAGAAGTCACCTCTGTTGTCCTGTGCAGTCAGCGACTATGACAGATGTGGTGGTGAACTGGTGAGAAGCACTCCAATAAACTTACTCCAACTACTGAATTTGGTCATTACATCCACCTGGACGTTCCAGAAGATAAAAAGCACAGACATACACACTTGATGATCTACAAGTTAAACTGTATCTTGAAGTAAATTGGTGGATAGTAACTACCTTTGATATCCACCAGGATGTGCATTTCGTCCTATCTAGGTACTTCTACTTTCTCCCCACTGAGGCTCGTTTCAAACGTCAAAGCATCATTTACTAGACCACCAGGGCCAACCCTTACTTATGCAACGCGTATCAGTAATCGACTTTTCCCGGTTGATTGTGACTGGACCACAAAGTGTTCACAGCTTCAAGTTGACATGTCGACTACTTGTGCAGATGCGCATCCTGATGGTGTTGTTTCACTGCTAGTCAGTCAGTCACACCCATCCACAATTTTCCTTCAAGTTCAATTAATCATCAGACATCATCGATGGATCTGTGCACAAGGCGGAGCCGAAATATCAACCTAAAGGTCGA